TAGTAACTCTCTCTCTTAAGCCTTGCCAATGCTCTTTAATTAGCTCACCTAAAATTTATCTCTATGTAAATTTTTACATGTATTTATGGAATAGATTTAACCATTACCAAAAATTAACCGGAGAATCAGAGTTAATCAGATCTCCAGCTGAAACAAGACGGAAGAGGACTTCTTGTACATTAGACTGTAGTTATCTTACAACAAAAGAAAACTACAGTATAATCCAAACAGAAATGACTAATTAATTTTGGACTAAGCCACATTTGAAACATGTGGCCTATAAGTTTTGCAGGCCGAATCCTAATACTCTTTCCGAAAAAATCTCATTCCAAAAAATGAGTCACAAAGGCTAGCATTGTTTGCTGTAAATTTTGAACTCCTAAACCCAAAGCATATATGATGCAGCATGAATGTACTCTATATATATGTGTATTTGAATAAATATTTCAATTGTTTTCTAAAAACACAGCACCTAATTTTGTATTATTCCAAAATTTAAATAATCGTATATACGTAAGAAACATGTCCCATGGATGAACATTGTCTCTCATATTATGTGGGGGTCGCTTTGTTTGTTGAGACAGAGAATAGATAGGGAGTAGAAAAAAACAGCTTTTAAGATAATGTATTAAAAACAAACAGTTTATAATGAATTGAGAAGATCACAAAAGAAGGTTTTGGTTGGATTCATGAAGTAAAATTTCCCACGAACTTGTACCTGTTTCTGCCATCACACTATTAGATAAGTACAATTCTCACACCTTTTCCCTATTTTATATACCAACTTCAGTTTTCATTAGCAAAATGTAAATGTGTATTCCATAATATCATTTTTGTTCAGATTAAGTATCGTTTTAGAATAAATTTTTCCAAATTAAATATCATTTTAAAATGAGCAACTTTGGAGAAGATTTTCCAAATTTGAAAACAAAAATTATTTTTGTGATATTTATGAGAATTGTCCTTTAATTTTCAAACAAAATTACATTTTTAACCCTATTATATGATGGAAAATATCATAAAAAGTTCAACTTTTACAAATGGTTGAAAAATATCAACTCCAATGAAAGCAATCCCCAATTTTTTTATTCTTTTTTTATCTGTAATCACCAACTTTTATTAACTGAACCAAACTAGTCTTATCATAAGTAACTTAAAGGAACTTTGAATCTCTGATTAAAATATTGTAGGGTCAAGTTAGATATCTTTAGAAATGGTTTAAGAACCAATAATTTTTTTTTTGGTCAACCACACATTAATTAATAAATAATTCCTAGATAGGTTGCCCAATTAGGAGGAAAAGAGTCTACAAAAGAAATTTAAGAGAATAAAAGTCTAGAAGAGCGGTAGAACCAATAATTAAAATATGTAAAAACCATTTAAAATTTTGCGTAATCTAAAGTACACATAAGTTATTTGCCTTATCTAGATTATATATTACACAGAGATTCAATCAAATTTTTTAGTTTTTCACCTTGTTAATATTATAACTATCAACAATCTAAAATTGTGTGCACCGATCAAAGTCTGACCCAGTTACTTATTCGTTTCAACATTCAATTTGTTTTAAAATCATTATTTTAATGGTTATCATTTATATTACATCTATGTTTTATAATCAGAAATATTTCTTATTATGAATAAATGGTTTAAATATAATATTTCACTAAATTTTTAAATCCCTTATATATTAATAGAGAAACACTATAAAAAATAAACCTTACCTTGACGTGTTATTAACTAAACTGACATACTGATATGTCACTTTCAGAATGATTTTCTACTCATTTAAATTATTATCCAAATTTTACTAGACTATTTACAGATTTTATTATTATTCTTAATACATATATTTATCAAACAAATTAAAAAAAAAATTATAATTAAAAACAAATAATTAGGGGACTAATCTTTATATTGACATTTAACAACAAATCACGAGAGCTTTGCTTACTTATATTAATAATCTATTTTTTAATAATTAAAAAACATACACTTTATGTTTATCTTATATTAATAAATCTTTATATTTATATTTTCCTATATATACATTTATATAAATTTTCTCTAGCCGAACAATCTTTTTTATTTATATTTATGTTTATATTTAAATGATAATAAATATACATTTGGTTCAAGAATCTCCAATTCAAAACTACAAAATTTCTACATCTTTCATAAATTTTTTATATCTATTGTACTTAAATAAATAAGATAATCTCTTTTTATATGTTATGAATACTTAAAATCCATTTTTTTTGGAGGAATTCTAACTTTTCGAAGAAAAACATTATAACCACATTTATATATAAACCAAAATCTGGTCACATTATAACCATTTCGTAAATAATCCATCCATAATCTAAGAATCTTAGATTTGGAACACTACATAATCTTAACTTTGAAAGTGAAAACTATCAAATCTCATCTTTGCTAAATTTTTGGATTTTTTAGACTTAAATAAATAAATAAAAAAGAAATTTTTCTGTTATACTACAAAATCTCGACATCTTTAAAACATACAGAAAGGCATGCATATTGCCATAAATGGTAACATTTCGTCAATATTTTTTTTTATCACGTTGAAGCTTTATTGCAGGTTCAAATATTTCACGGGTAAAACGTATTCTTATACGAAATAGTTCCAAATTTGAATTAAAAAAAAATATTACATGTTTGGTTTTACACAAACGGATCTTGGATCCCGAATAATAATTTTAATTATAATAATTTTACTTGAATCACTTCATCCCGCATATAGTGCGGGTTGTTGTCTAGTAGATATAGTATTTAATTAGAATGAGATTATGTGTACAATAGCCATTTGAAAGCAAAAAAATTCGATAATATATACTTTGGTAAGCACTAATATGTAATGTTTGTTACAAAAAAAAACGTGTTGTTAATAGTGTTTCTATTTTCTCTAAGGGGTTTTAATTAATTATTATCCGGTTGGAATACTGATGTCAATGGACTGCTTTGGTAAACCTTTTTGGCAGTGAAAGATTTTTAAAAAAGCTAAATTTCATTGTATTTATTTATAGTGTAATAAAGTAAAAAATATATGATGCAACCGTGCGGGCGACAGATGCAAAGCAAGCAAACCATATTGACAATCCTTTACTTTAGGGTTTCTTCAAAAGTACTCTGAAAATTTGGGGGATTTTGGTCAACACTGGGAATTGTGTCGATGCTTCTCATTAAATATTTTTAATTAATGAATGTAGATCAATTAAAAGTGTAAATATAGATACACTATAATCATCATTGTTATGAATCTTAAATGCAATTGACTAGTTGACAAAAATAATGCAATTGACTAGATACAGTTGCATTGTAAAACGCAATAAAAAAAACGCGTCTTTAACTAAACAAGTTTCCTTCTTTTAAAAGCAATCAGAGAAAATAAAGAAACTATTGATTAAACATCGGTTATGGTTATAATTTTTCATCAACCGTAACTTTAACCACTATATACGGTTAAAACGGTTACGATTACGATTATTTGATGATTACGATATGGTTAATATCGGAGGCAAAATCATACGAGTTACTTGACTTTTTTTACTACTTTTAATATAAAAAAAAGTGTTATAAACCAAATTTTCTTTATTTCGAGTAATATATCATTACAACATATTTGTTTGAGAAAAATACCATTTTTTCTAACGTAGATTTTTCATATGCGGTATCATTTTTTTTATATAATATTTATCTGAACATTCGATATTTATTTTTGTACTATACGTAGTTAAAATTATATTTTTAAAGTTTTAACTATGCGGTTAATAGTGTGGTTAACCGTGCGATTAACCGTACGGTTAAATAATGGTTTTGATATGTTTACGGTTAATTAACGGTTAAGGTTAGTATTTTTTTTAACCATAACTAATCTATTTTTACGGTTAACGGTTACGATTTTTAACTATTTTATACAGTTACGGTCCGGTTACGGTTGAAAAACGGTCCGATTATGGTCCGAAATATGGTTACGGTTAGCTTTTGGTCATGCCTATCTTTAAACTATTTTTTTTAATCTGCTTATTAGTTCATTTTTAAAAACATATGTAGCCGCCCAAAGTATGCTAAAAATCTTTATGTTGTGTATTTACAAATTATTATTTATTTATTATCTTCTAAAAGTCCTCTTTTGGATACATACATATATTTTGGATATATTCAGAACTTTTGTAAAAAATTTGAAAATTTTGTTTTTTAAAATAAAATAAAAATTTGTATCATAAAACATACATTATTTAAATATTAAAGGAATTAAATTTGACATTAGATAACTGATCATATCTTTTTGTTAGAATTCTTTTAACAAATGTAGGCTTGTATGTTAATTTTGTGAATTTTCATATTTGTTTGCATATAGAGTAGTAATAGCAGTAGTAGTACAAGTGAGATGTTGCATATTACTATAACCAAATAGTAAAATAAGGAACTAAAAACAATATCAAACAAGAAGAAGAAAAAAAACAACTAAATTAGTTGATGTGACAATTAGTATTTACAACAACAATAAATAGAGTCATCATAAATAGATGAAGGAGACTTAATCAGAGAGAAAAGCCTAGAAAGAGCTAGTAGGTATAATTCGCCCGGAGATAAGATGTTTCATGTTCATGTTATATTCCGTTAAGCCTCTTCTTACATCAAATCTTATCCTTGACGCTGACAGTGTTCCACATCAAACTTCTTTTCTTGAAAATATCATTTTATATACAACATATTTCATGTCAATTTTAAAAAATGTTATTAATAATTTCCCCTTTTATTTAAATTTAAAATCTGAACTACAAAACTCATTAACTTTTTAAAAATGCTTTAAATTAATACTTTAGAAGTCTAGCATTTAACCCTTTATTAAAATCACCTCAATATTAACTTAAATTATTAGGTCTATATTCTTGCTGGATATACGTATGATGATCCTGTTAGAATCAACATATCTGGAATTACTATACTTTATAATGCAACTATGTGATATAATCATATAAATTAAGAGAACAAGTCCATAAAATTTGAAAGAAATACAAAAGTGACTATCATCATATATCTAAGTGATAATAATAATAAAAACTGAAATTAATGTCATCAAGAGAGACGTACCATACGTTTAAAATATTTTGGTTTTCCACATCAAATATTTTTTTTAATTGTAATTTCATCATCACCAAGGCATCGACAACGATGAACCACCAAAACCCTAAAATCTCAAGACGGATCAACAGTACGGCGGCCGTCATCACCAGCGGCGGCTCTCGGCTGCTGAAACTGAGTGATCTGTCCAATGGCCAGAATCCCACCGTCGTAGTTGCTACCGGCCGGAACATCCAAGCCACCAAACATTTGTTCTCTAGGAAAAAACTGATGGTGGTGATAGTGGTGGTCTCTCACGGTGGCGGTGGCTGTTCCATCGGCTGCTCCGGCGAGTAAGTTGATGCCAAGACTCTGATGAGTGGCGGCGAGGATACCGAGGCTTTGGTACTTAGAGAGCTCAGATTTAGCACAGCTGAGATCTATCTGAAGCTGACGAAGCTGATGTTGAAGGAGAGAGATAACGCCGACACAACCGTAGACAGGGTCACGGAGACGCATGTCGGCTTCATAGGCCAAAGAGTTCACTGCATCTTCACGTTGTGAAGGATGAAGCTCGTTGAGGAGCTTTGTCACGTTACTTGCTCCAAACACTTTGTGAACGTTTGCGAATTTTTGTGGCTGGTCCGGTGGGAAATAGGGCGCGAATACACATTCCGGTTGACATTTTCGCCGGAGGAATTTGCAAGCGGCGCATGGTGAGTTTGTTGAAGAAGATGCCATTTTAATGACTTGAAAATGGAGTTTTTCAATTTTTTCTTTTTTCCCTCTCCCTACACAAAGCCGCCATTGAATTGAAAAAAATTAGGGTTTTTGAATTTAGTTTTTGGAGGTAGAAGTTATAAGGAAGAAAAAAAGATATTATGAAATCAATTGTGATTTTGGAGATATTATATTATCTGTTATTGTAATCAAATATGAAAATAAGTGAGAAAAATAAAGAAAGAAATAATGTTGAGAAGTTGTTCAATCTTTATTGTTGATAACAGAATAAGAAAGTTTTACCTGTGAGTAAATTAAAGAAGCCTTTCTTTGAATAATGGCTTCTGTTTCTCAGAGGGGAAATAAAAGAAGATCCTCTCTGCTTTCTTTAAGCTGCTATTTGGGGTTGCATAAAAAAGGCTGTAAAATAAGAGGAACTTTGCAATTAGTAGTATTAAAGATATTTGGTGAGCTCAATATATATGCACATACACAATAGACACACACATGGACTTGTATATATGTATGCTTATATATAATTAATTATATGTACTGATCCAACCTTCTTGTCAACTGTTGAAAGCAAATAGGGGAAAAAATGAGTAACATGAAGGTCCTTTTCTAAAGTCAAAGATAAAGGTATGCATCCAAATATAATATATGCTTTGAAGATATAAAAGATCATTTTAGACCTAGAATATGTGTAGCTATATGATATATAGAGGATACTTGTAGCTATATCATTGCTAGTCAAATTTTGGTAACTAGACCTAAGAGTCTAGAGACAACCTGAGAAATTTAAAATCATTTTAAAAACAATAAATTAAAGAGAGATGGAAATTTGTACCGTATAGTTGGAATGCGTAGGATGGATTAACGAAATATAAGGAATAAAACAGATGGGATCAATGGTGTTCTTTGTGTTGCTTATAGGTAGGTATGAGAGAGGGAAGAAGAAGAGAGAAGAGAAGGAAGAAGATGTAATTAATTACTAAAAAGCAAAAGATTGGATCTCGTGAAGAAGAAGAGACTTTTGGGTTTTGAGGCTATCGATGGGCAAAGCTCATCTTGTGCTTAAAATTTCATATTATATTATTTTATAAGGAAATGAGCTCATAAATATATGATAAGACTAGTACTAATTAATGTTATTTATTTTTTAATTTATCTACTAAATAACCATAGAGTATAAACATACCTTCAATAGTAGTAGGATTTGGTACTATAGGGAATTGATTTCCATGTGAAGAAGTTGAGAGTTTCTAAAGAGAAGAAGAGGGGATCTTGGGATGAACCCTTGGACCCTAGCATAGACTCTAACAACAATAATAACAATAAATGTATAGTTATTAGTATTAAATTTCAAAATAAAAAGTATATAGAAAGAAAAAAAAAGGAAATAAATGTGAAAAGGAGAGATGGGAAATGAGAGATGGGGTCTGACTCTGACTTTCCTGATGGATCTTGGGATGAAGAATTTTGCTCGTTTTATTCTTATTCTTTTTGTCTAGGGATTTACATACAGTAACCAAGCATTTTGTTATTACTATTATTATACTCTATACTAGCAATTCGCATTATATTATATGATACGGTTTGACAAAAGCCAAAATATATAAATACAGTAGAAAAGTTGATAATGAAGTTACCATCCTCAAAGTTTCTTCGGTCAAACCCATTTTTTCATGTTTCTTTATACAAAAATCCATAAGAATCTACTGCCACTTTCTTTCTTCTCTTCTCTCTCTTTCTCTAATTACAATATATTATAATATTATATTAGGATCATGCAAGTGTCTTTATTTTTGACTCGCTAGTTTTACGCAAAGTAATAGTTGAAAAAAAAATAGAAAAGAAAATAAGTGAAAGAAAAGAGGAAGGCATAGAAAGATGATGAGTTTAGGATCAGTACTCCCTAAGGTGTAGGGAGATAGAAAGAGAAAATCGCCCAGATGCAGAGGCTAAGGAAACGGAGAGAAAGAACAACTTTTATGGTGTGTCGATATATAGAGATAGAGAGAGAGAGAGTGAGAGAGTGATCACGGACTCTGTCTTTCTTCTCTATATATATATCTACATAGTCTTCCCTCTACGAGAAAATTAGGACACAGAGCATGAAACCTGTCTACAAATTTGTATTGTAGTTTAAAAGATTAACTCAATATTAGTAACCTATAAGATTATGTTCTAGTAGTCCATAAGGTTAAGTTACTAGTACCAATAAGGTTTGGTTTGTTATAGTATTTTAGTTTGTATTTCCAAATCTTAAGGGATATAAAAACATTTATCAAAGTTTTTGTATAGAACCGTTGAGTTTGGGTTAGGGACAGAGGCACTGTTTCTGAGATGCTTAAAGTTTTTAGACATTTCGGTGTTAATAATTGAAGTTACATTCTCAAGACACAAGACTATGCATATAGTTCTGCATTTTGTTGCATATCTTAAAATTGATGGCTACTTGTTTTAGTTGGTTTATGTAGAAAATGTAAATATTTATGTAACAACAATACAACGTAACTTCTAGTTCTAGCTAGTAGTATTTACTTATTCAAGCTCATTTTACATTCTAAATTAAAATTAATATGGTCTCCACTAGCAATTACTGTACCCTTTTTTATAATTCTGAATCCTCAACCAATGGAGCCAAATTAAACCAATACAACCACTACAATAAATGTGTACTTTTACCTTATGTACTAGCGCAAATATTCTAAAAAAATGGGCTAATCTATTGTCAAGAGTCAAGACTTTTAAACTCTCTTTTTTCACTACTCGTTCTTTTTTGGTAAAGAATAAGCTAAGCAAAAGTTATATATATGCAGCTTAAACACTCGATTAAGTAAATTTAGTTGGTCTCTACGATTAGGTCATCACTTTTTACGTACGACCTAACCTAACGAAGAAGCGTGCAAAGAGAAAAAAAAAATGATTATGATCATATAACATTTAACACACTAGTCAAAATGGAGAGAGAACATGAATGAGAAATGAATAGAAGCAAGTGGGTCGTGGTTGCATATTGCATTGTTGTAATTACTGTTGGAGCAGAGTCTGCAACACTATTTACTCGTACCCATTTTCAAACGACAACCATTCCTTTTTATTTAAATATATATTTATTACTTTTGAAATTAAACTATTCATGTCTTCATGTTCTTTGTCTTCTTCCTTCGTTTATAACAATGGGTCCAAAAATCATAGAATTCACACCATATGGATGGTAACACTCCTCCTCTCCAATTAATATTCATAATAAGTATGTTTGGCTTATATCGTTTTCATTATTTTCTATTATTCATATACATATATACATTGCGTCTTCTTCTAAAACTAGCTATCTTGGATTTACATTACACTATGAATAAGTATAATCATCTCCATTACATTACATTACACATTTGGGGCCCTACTTACAAGCTTTTTAATATATAATTATATGTTTACGAATAAGTATAATCATCTCCATATGCAGTTTTGAAAATGTTACCTGAACATTCAAATATTAGAAAGACTAAAATAGTAAAACCAAATACTTCTAAGAATAGTTACACTAGAACAGTTAATTAATGGAGCTATCCACTTTTGAATAGTCTTGCGATTTAACATCCTTTAGATAATTCATAGTGAAATGAAAAAAAAAGATTAAAATAGTTTATTTCATAAACGAAGTATTTGAAGCAAAACATTATTTTAAACTTTTATAGAATTCTGACTTTGAAAAAAGAAATCTACACTAATTGATAGTGAGTAACTGATCACATCCTTTATGTGGAAGTCGGATTCACACACTCAAGTATTTTGTTAAGTGGGAAAGATAATTCTTGAGGGACAAAAATGAATGCGTAAAAACTTGTAAACTGATGAAAATTTGCTATATTATTTCTTTCTTGAGAGGAAGATCCCCTTTACATGGCCATTGGCCTTTATATTTATACATAGCTAAACGACATTTAAAATGAGTAATTAAGTACAATTATTTCATCTTAAATGTGTCCGTTTTGATTCTTCGGCTTTAATGCTCAACGTTTGAATTTAAGTTGACTCTGATCTTCATGGGCTTCGCCTCTTCTGGCCCAAATGTCTTTGAACCGACTTACCCGTGTCTTCTACACCGAACTCGTGACACAGTGCAGTCACTTCGGACTCTCGAAGTGGTGACAACCACTTCGACCGTCCCCTCGGTTCATGAGCCCAATGGGCTTCATCCTTTATGGGCCACCCGCTTGACTACGTGGCAATCTTTGGTTGGTCTCGTACTTCTGGTGCGGGATCCGACACCAACAATTAGCCCCCCAAGTTCTTCGAAGTGCTATTCCAATTCGGAGGACTTTAAATGCTCAAGTGGCCAAAGATTGCGCTCGAGAATCTTTCTGATTTCCCGCCGAAAATCTCATCACTCCTTTAATTTCGACACTAGCCATTTTTAACCGAGTGACATCTGTCATCATTATGACCGTATATTGATTAATTACTATTAAAACGGGAAAAACCTTCCCACTTCTCACACGACTTCCGAGGCGGTTTCATCATTAGCTTGAGGTAACTTCTTTTCACCATTACTCTCTTCTTTTACTTTTGTACTTTAATCAAAAACCTCTCTCTTCGTTCCTTTAACAAAAACCCTTCTTCGCCGGAACTTGAATTTCTCTTTCTTCCCAATGACTTCCGATTCCGATAGACCCGAGTCTCCGTCTTTCGACGAGAGGCGTTCTAGTAACGACGAGTGCACCCGCCCTAGTGATATTGCCGGTCCACACTTTAGGTCCACTTGTACTCTTCAATCCCTCGAGCGATTGAGAGAGCTTTGCCGGATTCCGCCGGAAATTATGGCGGAAGCTCGAATAGCTTCCCCCACAGAATCTCCAGAGAACCATCGCGATGGTTACTTCTGTGTGTATGAGATTTATTTCAAGGGTTGCGGGCTGACCTTTCCTCTTCCCGAAGCCCTAATTTTATACCTAGCGGCTCTTGAAATCGCTCTTCCTCAATTAACCCCCAATCTTCTTCGTACTATTCTCGGCATCATAACAATCGCGGCGGAGGCCGGTTACGTTATCGGAGTCGCCGAACTAAATGAGCTTCTAAGCGTGAGAAGCTCATCGAAGAAAACGGGGTATTTCTCAGCATATCCTAACGCCAACAGGAACATCATTTCGCATCTTCCAAACAAGGATGAAAATTGGCATCATCCTTGGTTCTTGATTAAGAAAACTCCCGCTTCGATTGGAAATCTTGCAGATTTCCTTCCTTCGAAGTGGTCGGCGAAACCTGGTAGAGATTAGGTTGCCCGTATCTTCCCCGGTTGTTTCTTTATTTTTATTAACTAACACCGTTGTTTCATTTCGCAGCTTTCATCGCTTCCAATCTCCCATCTGAAGAGTTCATCGAATTCTTCAAAATAATTCTCGAAGGGGAAACCCTTTGGAATTCCTTCACTCTCGAACGATTCTTAGAGGCTAACCACAGACTCAGGATGAGTCCGCCTGGTCATCTTCACCAAATTCCTCCCCCTCCCTCAACTCAGGGAATGTCATCTCGGGCCCTTGCGGCCAAACGTAAGTTGCTTTCCAAGCCGATGGCTGAGGCTTGCGAGGAGAAGAAAAAGTTTCTCACGACTTCCATAGACAAGAAGGACTATAGTAGGACCTTGCTGGTCGATGATGGCAGTACCGAGGGAGCCCGATCTGTCGCTTCCTTCAGATTAACTCCCCGTCGCGATCGTCGTGACTCACGTTCTCCTCGGAGGGATCGATCTCCTCGCCGTGATTCACCTCGTCCTTCCCGAGATGATTTTAGTAACGAGCCAATCAAGAACTTGGTTCGTCGAAAGAGAGACAAGTCTTCTCGCAGAGATCCTTCCCCGCAGAGGGAAAAGTCAAGGGCCCGGACTGACCGCTCACCTCGGTCATCCCCTCCTTCTGAACCAATGGGTCCTCCACGACCGGTTGACATGTCCTCCTCTTCCCAGCCTGACAGTGGGAAGACCGCCCGGAGTGTATCTCCGAAAAAGGGGGATTCTGAATCTCGAGATGCTCCCTCGAGGCTGAAGCCTGCTCTTGTACCCCAAGTCAAATCACTTTCAGGTTTGGTGATTTACACACACTTAAACTTTTGTCTTTATTAAAATTCCAATTTTTACAACTTTTCCTTCTTCACAGCTATGGAGAAAGAGGGCAGCGTCTTCCGATGCTTCAAGACCCGATCGGGTTCGATCTTGCCAGACTTTGACAAATGGCGCCCTGCGATTCGTGAACGTTATTTGCTTCACGCACATCACTCATCTCGGGTTAGTTTTCGCTTTCTTTAAGTATATTTCTTATTGTATTGCCATTCTGCGAATCTGACTCGTCATCCCGGGTTCATGTATAACGCCAGGCTCAAAGCGAATTTAGCGACATGGTCGAACATTACGAAAGGTTGGTCATTGACCGGGAGAAGGAGATTGACATGTGGACAAAGAAACTCTCCGCTCTTGAGGCCGAAGTCAGTTCTTCTGCCGGCTCCAAACACGAGCTGGAGGACAAAGTCGATAATTTAACATCCGAGCTTGCGCAGGTAAAGGGGGAGCTGCAGGGTCAGTACGACCAGAACTTCAAGCTTCAGGAAGAGTTTTCCGGCATTCAAGGTAGGCTTCAAGAGTCCGAATCAAACGCTGACTCCCTGAACAACCAACTCATCGAGCTCAACGCAAAATACAAGGCGATCGCCAAATTGCGTGATTCCGAGTTGGCGAGGTCGGCATCAAAAGCTAGAAAAGAGGTCAAGGGACGCGGGATGGAGTTGATCCAAGGGGCCATCCGATTCATGCAGACTGAGAAGGCTAGGTCGGACTTGGAATCAGACATCAAGGAGCACGAAAGTAACCTGATTCTGCTGGATCAAATCCATGAAGCAGATTTCTCCGAAGAGCAAGAAAGGACCGAGCTGTCGACTAACCTTTCTGAAAAACGGAATCACTTGGCAGCTCTTCCCACTTCGGCCTTCAACCCACTTGACTTCGAGGCATTCTTTACTGAATCACCTCCAATAAGTGAATCGGGTTTAGACTGGGCAGGTAACGCTTGGCTCCTAAGGCTTACTTTTTCTTACCTTGTACCTTTGATTGACTGGAATTATTATTTCCA